TCCTCCATTGCTTTGTGTTGAATGCGCAGGTGTCCTTGTCTGCTGCTGCTGGTCGAAGTGTGACATGAAGCTGAAGAACCTTTCCATAAGGTTCGGGTCCACGCTTGAAGAGGGTGATGGGGTCACCATTTCTGGTGCTCTTCCTGTTGTTTCTTGAGCAGCGCCGGTCTCGGTTTGCAGTCCTGAAGTGTGCAGTCGAGAGTTGCCAGGGTTGAGTATCTTGGGCACTGGGTGAGCCCGTAGAGGTTTTCTTGCCCTTGCTGTCCATGACTTGTAATCAATGAAGTCGTTGGTGTGCTGATTGTAGAGAGAGCGTAGTTGCTGGGAGTTTGGTCTCTGACCAGCTCTCTGTTAAAGTAACACTAGGCTAGGATACTAGGCAGGAACAAGGCCGCCATGAATGTGGCGGCGGGGTTTAGCTAGGAGCTGGACGAGAGTGTCGAGAGAAAAGAGTACTGGATTAGGAAGAGAGGGGAGTACAAGGAGGGGTTTGTACCCCCTACAGAAAGGTTCAGTAACAACCTACCAAGCCTATATAAATTATAACTTATATAATTTGAACACACCCCCTAGGCTTGGTAGTCACACACCCACCCAACACACCACACACCCCCTAACCTAGCACCCCCATTCCAGCCACAGGGACAGCGACACTAGGGCGGTCGACCCCACGGTGCGTGAGGCGGCGACGTCGACCGCAGGGGCTGCGGCGGCGACGGCGGCAGCGGCGGCAGTGTCGACAGCAGCGGCGGCGGCGGCGTGCGGCTGCGTGGCCCCGACGCAAGCGGCGACAGCGGCGGCGGCGGCGGCTTCGACAACAGCGGCGGCGGCGGCGGCATCCGCACCTCTCGGTGACGTGGCCAGACCCCGCGAGGGTGGGACGGCCGGCGGGAATCAGCCGTCAGCTGCGGCAAGATACAGGACACAGGGGAAGGGGGGGCGGGGCGTGGTCCAGCCTCACGCTTGAGGCTGGCGTGCGGGCAGCAGGTGTGGCGGCGCCATGAACGTCGCGCGGCAAGCTGCCGTCCGACGACGCTGCCACGGCAGCATTACGACGCCTACACATCGCGGCGTCGATGCAGCGGTGGGACGTCGCCGCTGCGATGGTAAGCACGGCGCCGTCACAGCAGTGTGGCGTCGACGCCACGCTTCACGACGCGACGGCACGGCAGGAACGGGCATGGTCGCCACGGCGGCACGGCAGGAAGTCGGAAGGCAGTAAACGAGAACACAACGGAAGCACGGAGGGGAGCAGGCCTAGGAAGGACGTCCTGCTCTCGATACCATGTTAAAGTAACACTAGGCTAGGATACTAGGCAGGAACAAGGCCGCCATGAATGTGGCGGCGGGGTTTAGCTAGGAGCTGGACGAGAGTGTCGAGAGAAAAGAGTACTGGATTAGGAAGAGAGGGGAGTACAAGGAGGGGTTTGTACCCCCTACAGAAAGGTTCAGTAACAACCTACCAAGCCTATATAAATTATAACTTATATAATTTGAACACTCTCATACCATGTTGGGCTGAGAAATGCCCTTAGGATCTTTCCAGAGACTAAGTCCCAGTTGTAAAAGACTTGAGTAGTGCAGTGGAAGTTGAGGTAGTTGAACCCTTGTACTAGTATATGAGAACAAGTGATTGATTAAAGTGAACAAGCATACAGCAATATATAGAAAGTAAAAACAAGCAGTTGTAGAATACAGTTGAATGGCGGTTATCGAGTCGCGCAGCGACTCGATTGTCGCTTCGGTTACCATTCTTGCAGTTGTAACGGTCAGTCGCAACCTCCGGTAGCAACCCTTCGAGTCCTTTCGTGTTCTTTGTCCACCCCCTCGTGTAACCTCCGTTGACTTGCGTACTCGTTACGATCTTCCTCGAGTGTGGTGTTATACTTCAGAAACGCTGAAGTCATTGAGATATTCCCAACAGAATTGAACCAAACAGTAGAGTGAAGATCGGCCTTATGGTGCAAAGCTGGAGCGGGGTTTGAAAATTTGGAGTGGCATGTAGGGTGGCAAATGGTGTTGGGTCGGACCGCTACGACAGAGCAGTGGTTCCTCCTGTCGTGATGCACGCGTGGTCCTACAGTAGTGGTGGTGTCAGGTTATTACAGCACAGCACTATCTTCACAGTGGCTGGCACAGTGGCACCGAACCTCATGCTAGCATCTGCCATCTTAAGCGGGCAGCTGGTCCTTGGTGCACTCAGGCAGGCCGTCATCGAACGGGAACTCCCGGGGGCCTGAAGACGGGATGGGGGGAATGCAAGGGAGCACGGGCGGCATGACGAAGCATCACAGGCTGTGGCCAAACCATCAAGCTGGCAGCTTGTCCTTGGTGCACTCAGGCAGGTCGTCATCGACCGGGAACTCCCGGGGGGCCTGAAGAGGGGGTTGGGTTGGGGGAGTGCAAGGGAGGCATGAGGAAGCATCGCAGGGGCCAGTCGGGCCATCAAGCCGGCAGCTTGTCCTTGGTGCATTCAGGCAGGCTGTCATCGAAAGGAAACTCCTGGGAAGTCTGTAGGGCGGATGGGGGAGCACGGGGCAGTGGGGGCCAAGAGGGGGAGGCAGTGGGAGACACAAAAGATGTGTGCAGGCAAAGCAAGCTGCGTCGAATGCATACCACCCATGCAACGGGCGTCTTTCTTCCAGGTGCGTAAATAAATGCAGAGACACGGGTGTGCAATCGACTCAAGTACAGTGAGATGTGCAGGGCATTGTGGCAGCGAGGAAAACAAGCCCATGCGAGGAAACAGCAGTGTGCTGCACTCCCAACAACAGTGTAGCCATCCAATGTGCCATACCCATGGAATCCGGGAGGGCTTGTTGTTGACAACTGCAGCGAGGCCAACAAGGGCAAACACTGACAGGCCGACTTTTGAGTCGACCGAGTGGGGGATGGAGATCAACATACCCATGGGATCCGAGAGGGCTTGTCGTTGACCACTGCAGCGAGGCCAACGAGGGCGAACACTGAGAGGCCTGCTGCCAGCCATTGGAGCGCCGTGTTCTGATGGGGTTGGGGATGGGGAGGGATGGGGAGAGGGGATGGCAGAAGGGAAGAGGAGAGGAGAGGTGGGAAAAAAGGGCGAAGACTGACCAGACCTGCTGCCGGCTCTGCTGTGCCGTGGTCTGATGGGATGGGGATGAGGGAAGGGGGGAGAGGAGGTGTTACAAGAGAAGAGAGGAGGAGAGAGGAGGAGAGAGGAAGGATGAGGGAAGGGGGAGAGAGGAGGTGTTCCAAGAGAGAAGAGGAGAGAGGAGAAGAAAGGAGGGTTGGGGGTGGGAGGAGAGAGGGGGTGGTTACAAGAGAGAAGAGAGGGGAAGAGCTTGGGGGACCTTCTGCAGGGCCTGGAGCCGGCGCTCGGGGACTCCCAGGGCCGCCTGGCTAGTATCCTTAGATGGGTCCTACGGGTCCTCACACTTGCTATGCACGTGCCTTTGCAGGGTGCTTTTGAGAATTCTCAAAAACGCCCTGGCTAGTATCCTTAGATGGGTGTTAGGGTCCTCACACTTGCTATGTACGAGCCTTACCTACCATGCCTGTAACCCCTTCCTACCTACCATGCCTGTAACCCTTCCTACCTACCATGCCTGTAACCCTTCCTACCTAATACAAGGACAGATTGAGATTGGGGAGAGAGGCACAAGGGCAAACACCGACAGGGCTTCTGCCAGCAACAGGAATGCTGAGACGAGACGACAGGAGGAGAGAGAGACGACCATAGGGGAAAAGGCGGCAAGGCGACTACGCGACAAGGCGAGGGATCTATCCTCTCACAGATGGCAGGTTCGGCAGGCAAGACTCACAGACGGCAGGTTCGGCAGGATGGCGTCTGTAGCAGGCTCGGGATTCGGCGTGCCGTCGTACCACGTGAGCTCGTCGCTCTCTGGCAGCTGCAGAGAGGGGAGGGCAGAGAAGGAGGGGAGAAGAGGATAGAATTTTTTAGAATTCTCAAAAATGATTCCAGAGGACAGTATAGATAAGTAGACGGAGAGATCAGAAGAAAGAGGATCGGGAGGAAAGCGGAAAATCTAGGGAGCAGGTGGGTTCTTGGAGCCAGGAAACCAAAAAATCGCTTGACGAGACGATCCAAGCGACGGTTTTTGAAATGAACAAGGCTACAAACGAAGGGAGAATGAATGACAGCTTCCAGGCGGCTGTACCGCGTACAGACGGAGACGGAGGTGTCAGAAAAATGACGGAGAGCACGATGACGTTCTGCGGAACCCTGAGGAGACTAACGGGTGTTGAGAGGGACGACTTTTGATGACCTCCCGCCTGTCGGAGGTGATGGGAGGGACGACTTTTGAGTCGACTCAAAAGTCACCTCGTGATCGGAGGGACCTCCCGCCTATCCACCCATCCACCCATCCACCCATGCGACACGATTCTGTGATCTACGGCAAGCACGTGCCTCGGAGGCGGGTGGACGTCCGAAGCCGAGGCGCGCTCCCGCGCCTCCTCGAAGCGAGAGAGCCGACGCTTGCGGGCCGACGAGGCGCCGACTGAAGGCTGACGCGAGAGATCGCATTGGGGAAGCCATGGCTGCTACGAGTGACGAGAACAACACTCAAGTCACAAAGCTTGGAGAGCTTGAGCAATGAACTGTAAAACATCAATATATAATTTTTAATAAACTCATTAACATGTCTGGATGGTGTAGTCGGTTATCACGCCAGTCTCACACACTGGAGGTCTCCGGTTCGATTCCGGGTTCAGACAGAGATGTTTTTGTTTTTGACGACCTGCCCAAAATCTGATATCTGTCAAACTCGCAACGAGCCAATCGGGAGCAGAGTCTAAAAGTCATCGTCAACAACCAGCCAATCTTACTGGTTTTTCGACAACCCCCCCACAAACCGCTGACCGTCTGGCTGTCTCTGACCGTCTGCTTGCCGGCAACCGCCACTTCAACTTCCCCTGCCCAACTCTCCCTGCCGCTTTACTGTTGCAGATTTCAATGGCTTCCAAATTCGCAGCAAATTTGTCTCACACACCATCGTAGCATTGTAGCCTGCTACTGCTCTATCCGAGTCGAATTCATTCACGAGTGGCTTCTAGAGTAGTCTCGTCTGGAAGTGGGAGCGTTTTGATTCGTCAGGTCTCATTCAATCTTATTATCCTGGGAGTGAGGCGGTGTCGCTGCCTCGCGCGGCTCGTCGCTGTCTGGGGGGAAAGGCAGTCGGCGATGGCTCGCCTGGTTACTGGCGTTTCGCGAACGAGACGGAGCTCGTCGTCGTTGTCGCTCGTGCTATTTCTTCTCGTGTTACTCCTGCTCTTCGCGAACGTCGCTCGCTCTGCTAAGATCACCTTCATTAGGAAGAACGGCAAAACCTTCGTGATTAAAACGGGCGACGACGACGATCTGGACGACGACGATGATCTAGAAGAAACGGATGGCGAGGATTCGAAGCGAGAGGGAGGAGGAGACTCGTCAGGAGGAGCAGCAGCAGCAGCGGGAGCCAAAAAATCGCAGGCGAAAAGCGACGAGTCTGACGATTCTGATGGTTCCAAACGGGTCGAGGCGCTTAAATCTGTCAAATCGCCCGAGTCGGTAGCAGCGGCGGCGGAAGCGGCGGCGGCTTCCGCGCTAGCAGCAATGGCGGAAGACCCCCTCGTGGAGAAGTACAAACAGGAGCCGTTGGATCCGGGATCCTGGCGGACAGCTGTTGAGATGCCATTGGCGGACGTGCGCCGGCGCGCGGAGCAGGGGGACGCGGAGGCGCTGTGGGCGCTGGGGGTGAAGCGGGTGGTGGGCGCGGGGGGGAGGGGGGGAGTGGCGCGGGATATTCCCAAGGCGCTGATGCTGCTAGAGCGATCCGCGGAGCAAGGGTTTGCGCACGCGCACTCCGCGCTGGGGTTCCTCCACGCGAGCGGATACGGCGTTCCGCTGAATCAGGTGGGGGGGATTGGGGCGGAAGGTGGGAGAAGGGGAGTTTGGGGGAGAGTGGGGGGATGGATCGAAATGACTCGATGCGACATGCTGTAACTGTGACACGGATTAATAGGGAGTTATTTCCACCACCCAAGTCAACCCTCCCATCCCATCCCGTCCGCCAATCAGGTGAAGGCGTTTCCCCACCACACGTCTGCCGCCAGTGGCGGCAGCATCCACTCCAAGATGGCCCTCGGATTCGCCTATCTTCCCCGCTTCCCGCCTCCACCCCCCCTCCCCCCAACCGCTCCTTCCCTCCCCCCAACCGCTCCTCCCTTCCCCCCAACCGCTCCCCCCTCCCCCAACCGCTCCTCCCCTCCTCCCCTGGCAGGTGAAGGCGTTTCTCCACCACACGTTTGCCGCAAATGGCGGCAGCATCCACTCCAAGATGGCCCTGGGATTCGCCTATCTGCGCCAGCAGGAGTTTGAGCGCGCCGCGGCGCTCTACGCTGACGTGGCAGCCAAGTCCATGGCGGTGAACAGCCTCCCTGGGCTGGCGCCGCTGATAGAGACGGTGCACCTGAGCGCGGGGGGGGAGGAGAGCCTTGAGGCGACTAGAGGACACAGAGGGGAGGCGGATGAAACCATTCAGGTGAGCACTATCCCGGCGGGAGGAATTCAACTCAAGTCCATGGCGGTGAACAGCCTCCTGGGGCTGGCGCCGCTGATAGAGATGGTGCACCTGAGCGCGGGGGGGGAGGAGAGCCTTGAGGCCACTAGAGGACACAGAGGGGAGGCGGATGAAACGATTCAGGTGAGCAAAGTAGTTTAGTTTTGAGACGTCTCAAAACTAAACTAAATAAACACGGATGAAACGATTCCGGTGAGCTTTGGGACGGCTCAACCAGGCCAGTGAGAGAATGCACGTGAGGGTTGCCTGGCCCCGCTGGTAGAGACGGTGCACCTGAGCTGGGGGGGGAGGAGAGCCTGGAGGCACAGAGGGGCGACGGACCAGGGGGCACAGAGGGGAGGCGGATGAGACCATTCAGGCGAGAAGCATTCACGTTAGGTCTGCTAGGGCTCTCAATATTGCGTTGCGTTGCGTTGCGTCGCGTCGCGTCGCGTTGCATTGCGGGGATTTCCGCCCTTCCCCTCTTGCCCCATCCAACTCTCCAGTTCACCGAGTTGCGGGCATTGCGGGCATTGCGGGCATTGCGGGCATTGCGGGGAGCAGTGGAGGCCATTCGCACGCTGGGCACGCTCTACCACTGGGTGATCGCACCTGATGGCACCTGATGGCACCTGATGGCACCTGATGGCACCTGATGGCACCTGATGGCACCTGATGGCACCTGATGGCACCTGATGGCACCCCTTCCCGCCCCCATCTCCCCTCCCCGCCCTCTCCCCCCCCCCCCCCCCGCCCACACACTCGCCCCAGTTCATTGAGCTGCAGGCGTCACGGGGGGCAGTGGATGCCATTCGAACGCTGGGCACGCTGTACTACTGGGGCGCGAGGGGCATGCCGAGGGACCATGTGCGGGCGTTCGGACTCATGAAGAAGGCCGCGGAGATGGACGACCCGCATGTAAGGCGTACATCACGGGCAAGAAATTCTGGGTGTTATTTGCTCGTAAGCCACGCTGGGAGGGCTCTACCACTGGGGAGCGAGGGGCATGCCACGGGACCATGTGCGGGCGTTTGGGCTCATGAAGAAGGCTGCGGAGATGGGTGCCCGCATGTGAGTGAGCGGTGATCTGTGGGTAAGAGATGGCTGCATGGTCGCCATGAGCCGCGCTGAGAACACTGTGTTTCTGGGGGACCACCAGGCGCGTGCCCAGGGACCATGTGCGGGCGTTCAGACTCATGAAGAAGGCAGCGGAGATGGGCGACCCGCATGTGAGTGAGAGGTTACCTCTGCGAAAGAGATGATTGGCATGGTTGGCATGATGAGCTTGGTAGCCACACTGGGAGAACTCTATTACAGGGGGCGAGGGGCGTATGCCGGGACCATGTGCGGGCGTTTGGGCTCATGATTCATAAAGAAGGCAACAGAGATGGACGACCCACATGTGAGTGGGAAGTGAGTCGCGGGTAAGGGATGGCTGGATGATGGGCGTGAGTGAGCCACGCTGGGAGCACTTCTTTTGAGTGGACTGTAAAAGCGTGAGCCATGTTGGGAACACTCTATTCCTGTGCGGGCGTTCGGACTGATGATGGAGGAGGGCAGCAGAGATGGACGACGACCCGTATGTGAGTGAGGAGAGACTCGCATGCAACCTATGGCTGCCTCGGTGGGCATGATGGGCATGTAAGGCTCACTGGGGACGCTCTTTTACTGGGGGGCCAGGGGTATGCCCAGGGACCATGTGAGGGTATTTGGGCATTTGATTCCAGTCAATATGGGACTCGTCGAGAAAACAGGCTCAATCCAGCACTTGAGTGAGGGCCTCTGAAGTGCTGGCTCGAGTCATTCTCCTCGTACCATTCCCCCCCAACCCCTCCCTCTATTGCCCTTGGCTGGCCTTGCTGGCTCTGGGTGCGATGCTCACGCATGGGGTGGGGTTGGTTCAAGAAAGCCCACACCAGAGGGCTCAGTATTGGTTGTCTACCCTGTCTGTTCCCTGCCCCGTTCCACCCTCTGACGCTGGCAGGCCATGCCATGCTGACGCACGGCGTGGGGTTGAAGGCCAACTCCGGCGAGGCCAACTTCAAGAAGGAGAAGGCCTATGCCAGACGGGTCGTTAGTCATGCTTCTCATATCCCCCCCCCCCCCCCCCACCTCTATTGCCCGTTGCAGGCCATGGTGACGCTGGGTGAGATGCTCACGCATGGGGTCGGAGTGAAGGCGAACTACGGCAAGGCCATGGAGTGGTTCAAAAAGGCCCACGCCAGAGGGGTCGTGAGCGCCCTGAATGGCGTGGGGTACCTGCATTCCAAGGGGCTAGGGGTGCCTCAAGACTACCACAAGGTAGGGGTGTTTGATGCACAAGGGGATGTGGCACGCCTTGATGCCCAATGGCGTGCTCTCTGCTCTGAATGGCGTGGGGTACCTGCACTCCAAGGGGCTGGGGGTGCCTCCAGATTATCACAAGGAAATGACACACATGCCTGTCCGATGGGCTCAACCCATCTGACAAGCATGAGCCCATCTGACATGCATGAGCCCATCTGACATGCATGAGCCCATCCGACATGCATGAGCCCATCTGACATGCATGAGCCCATCTGACATGCATGAGCCCATCTGACATGCATGAGCCCATCTGACATGCATGAGCCCATCTGACATGCATGAGCCCCTCTGACATGCATGAGCCCATCTGACAGGCATGTCTGCCAGATGGGCTCATGCCTGGGTGTGCCTCAAGACACATGGCTGCCAAATGGTAAATACATGCTTCAGCTCTCTGGTCTGGTGGGCTTCCCCAAGGGGGGAGGGATTACCACAAGTTAATGAGTGCTCTTAATGGTGTCGCTGTTTTCATCCTTGTTTCCCCCACGCTCCCTCTTGCTTCTCCTCCTCTGCCCCACCTTCGTCCTCAGGCTGCGCAAAACTTTCTCACGGCTGCCCGGAAAACTCGGGATGTGGATGCTTTGTACAACCTGGGCATGAGCCACCTGAGGAAGCAGGGCGTGAGGCGCAACCCCAGCAAGGCGCTGCAGTTCCTGCAGCAGGCAGTGGAGGGGCAGCACGTGGGGGCTGATACGTGAATGCCATGTGTGCTCATGCCCCCCCCCCCCCTTTTTCTTTACCAGGCGGTCCAGAACTTTCTCACACCTGCCCGCAAAACTCGGGACGTGGATGCTTTGTACAACCTGGGGAAGAGCCCCCTGAAGGACCAGGACGTGCGAAGGAACCCCAGCAAGGCGCTGCAATTCCTGCAGCAGGCAGTGGAGGGGCAGCACGTGGAGGGAGCGGCAAAGGAAGTGCAAGCCGCTTCGCATCCCAATGCACCCTCTTGCTTTTTCTTCTCCGAACCTCCCATGCATCCCTCAGGCCGTGCAAAACTTCCTCACTGCTGCGCGGAAAACTCGAGATGTGGACGCCTTGTATAATCTAGGCATGAGCCACTTAAGAGGGCAAGGAGTGCGACGGAACCCCAGCAAGGCGCTGCAGTTCCTGCAGCAGGCAGTGGAGGGGCAACACGTGGGCGCCATGTACCAGATGGGCAAGATGCACCTCGCAGGCACTGGCGTGCCCAAGAACGTGGTTGTGGTGAGTGGAGGCGGGTTGCTGTGAGTATAATGGGGTGACTGCAGGGCTGTGACAATAGGGAGGTCTGTTCCTGCACTAGTTCCTGCAGCAGGCGGTGGAGGGGCAGCACGTGGGCGCCAGGTACTGGATGGGCGAGATGCACCTTGCGGGCACGGGCGTGCCCAAGAACGTGGTTGTGGTGAGAGGCGGGGATCGTTATTGTGGTACCACAGGGGATGGGGCTAGGTGTGTGTGACTGTAGCGGGGCGTTCCCGAGAACATTATCATGGTAAGGTAGGGGTGGGAATGGAGCATTGTGTGTCAGTGTGTGCTCATAGGGAGATGCAGCACTAGATCCTGTAGCAGGCGGTGGAGGGGCAGCATTTGGAGTCATTTTTTTAGAGTGTATTTTTGAGGCGCCTCAAAAATGGACTCCTCACGCCTGGATTTTTTAGAGTGTCTCCACGGGCAGATTTTCAGAAATGACTCCACTCCACTGGAGCAGTGTCAGTCAGTGTGCATTCTTAGGGAGATGCAGCTCTAGTTCCCAAGAACGTTATCGTGGTGAGAAGGATGTGGGTGGGGTGTGCCTATGCCTGTTGCATGTCTTCCACCTAGGGCCCTCCCTGTGGCTCTCTACCTATTTTCTGTGTTTCTTTTTGAGGCGCCTCAAAAATCGTCTCATGTCTTTCACCCAGGGGCCTCCCTCTGGCCCCTCGCTACCTAGTTTCTGTGATTCCCCATCCCCCCCTCCCCCCACACACCCCCTCCTCAGGCTGCTCGTTCTCTAAATGCAGTGGCAGTGAGAAATCCCTCTCCCGCTGCCCTCTCTTGTTTTCCAGGCTGCTCGTTTACTCAAGGCAGTGGCAGAGAGGGGTTCATGGGGAACGATGCTACGATGGGCCCACGCCTGCTTTGTGTCTTCCGCCCAAGGCCCCTCTCTCTGGTCCCTCCCTGTCTTGGTGTGTTCTTGTGATGCCATCTCCCACCCTCAGGCCGCTCGTCTACTCAAGGCAGTGGCGGAACGAGGCCCGTGGGGAGTGATGCTGCGGTGGGCGCATGCCTGCTTCATGCTGCAGTGTGTGTGACGCCTCACAGTGGGCGCATGCCTGCTGCATGCCGTCCACACAGGGCCCCACTCTCTGCTCCCTCCCCGTCTTCCATGAGTCTGCTGATGCCTTTTCCCCCTCAGGTTGCACGTCTACTCAAGGCAGTGGCAGAGAGCGTGGCCCATGGGGGGTCATGCTGCTGTGGACCCACGCCCGCTTTATGTCGTCTGCCCAAGGCCCTTCTCTCTGGTCCCTCTCCCGCTGTCATCTTCTGTTCTGCTGTCTAACAGGCTGCTCGTCTGTTAAAAGCAGTTGCAGAACGCGGCCCGTGGGGAGTGATGCTGCGGTGGGCGCATGCCTGCTTCATGTCGTCCACACAAGGCCCCTCTCTCTGGTCCCTCTCCCGCTCCGCCGCCTCCTCCTCCGCCTCCTTCTCCTTCTCCTTCTCCCTCTCCTCCCCCCTCTCGCCCTCCTCCCCCCGCTCCTCCTCCTCCGCCGCCTCGCCCTCCTCCTGGCCTGCGTCCTGCGACGTGGGCACGTCGCTAATGCTCTACTCACGGGCTGCTGAGTTGGGGTACGACGTGGCTCAGGGCAATGCTGCTTGGCTGCTGGATAAAGTGAGTGCCTCTCTTGCCCCTCTCCCCCTCCGCCCCCTCTCCCCCTCTCTCCACTCCTCTTCCGCCTCGCCCTCCTCCTGGCCTGCGTCTTGTAACGTGGGCACGTCTCTATTGCTCTACTCACGGGCTGCTGAGTTGGGGTACGACGTGGCTCAGGGCAATGCTGCTTGGCTGCTGCATAAGGGTGAGCCCCATTCCTCAGGTTTCCTTTCTACAGATCGTCAGGGCTCCTCAGGGCTGGTCAGGGTTCGTCAGGGTTCCGTCCTAAACCCCCCCCCCCCCCCCCCCCCCTTCCCCCCCTTCCCTCCCCCGTTTGCACCATCCCTACAGGTGGTTGGCAACTCTGTTCTCGACAATGCATGCGTGGGCCCTCCTCGCAACAACACCCCATCAACGCCTTCCTTACTGGAAAAGGCTGACACGGCCAGCCAAGCAGTAGACGGTGGTGCAGCAAATGATGGGAGTGCAAGAGACGGGGAGGGATCAACAACAGGTCAAGAGGGATCTGCGGCTGTGGAGACATCGCAAGCAGATGAGGCAGGAGCGATGGAGCCGAAGGGGAGGAAAGCAGAGTGAAGAGGCAGCAGGAGCAGCAGGGAGACCGAGCAGCAGCAGCAGTAGCAGCAGCAGCGGTGGCGGCGGCGGTGGCGGCAGTGGCGGTGGTGGCAGTGGTGGTGGTGGAGGTGCAAGCAGGGGCGGGTGGAGGAGGTGCAGTGAGGCGGAGAGGCACGAGAGGTCGCACCGCCTGTGGCAACTCGCAGCTGAGCAGGGCAGCGTGCAGGCGGCCTTACTGCTGGGGACGCCTTCTTCTATGGAAGGGTAAGTCTCTCCACTAGGATATACGAGAGTATCACGGGTGAGTGTCTGTTGGGTCGACATGAGGAGGGAGCTGGCACGCACATTGAGGTGCGTCAGCTTGCAGCAGAGCAGGGCAGCATGCAGGTGGCGCTGCTGCTGGGGGACGCCTTCTTCTATGGAAGGGTGAGTTTCGTATGCTGCAGAGTGGGGCAGGCTGCAGGCTGCAGTCTGCTTTGCTGCTGCTGCTGCTGGAGATGCATCCGCCTATGGCCGGGCAGGCCAGGTGCTTGTGCTGGCAGGTGAGCAGCACAGAGCCTGCTCAACCCTCCCTCTTCTCCACCTGCTCACCCCCCCCTCCTCCCTGCCTGCTCACTTACGTGCAAGCGGTGTTAGAATATACTACTATATTCACTAGTCTACATAGATTTGTTATCTTGAGTAGAGTTAAGCACTCCACTACAATTAGGGTGCAATAACCCTAATTGGAGGTTGGGTTCCCAAATTGGTTGGGTCCACAACTATTTGGGACCCCCAATAATTCCCAACCAGAATTATTGGTGGGGCCCAATAAACTTGGCCAACTCCCAACCAACCCTCCCTTCCTTCCTGTTCTCACATTCCTATGTAAACCCTTGTGCTTTCCTTCTAATCAACTTTCTGATTTCACGTTTTCTCACAAGCTGACCCCACCCACAGGGCCAGACGAGGGATAGAGCGGGCAGCAGAGGCGTATTAGGGGGCGAGGGAGAAGGGCAGTGCGCACGCCATGCAAGGGGCCCATACCAGCTGCATGCTACCCCCCAACCCACTCCCACGCCCCATACCCCACACCCCACGATTGAACCCACCCCGCAGGGCCAGGCGCGGGATCTAGAGCGGGCAGCAGAGGCGTACTGGAGGGCGAGGGAAAAGGGCAGCGCACACGCCATGTTCAACCTTGGGTTTATGCACGAGCACGGCATGGGCTGCCTAGGGATCTGCATTTGGCAAAACGCTTCTACGACCAGGTTGTGATGGGGAGAGTGATGTATGGGTCAAGTGAACAGGGAGAGGGGCAGTGCGCACGCCTTGTTCAACGGGGCTTGATGCACGAGCACGGCATTGGGCTTCCTAGAGACCTGCATCTGGCAAGCGCTTCTACGACCAGGTGTGGTTGGGAGCGAGTGTGGTTGATGGGCCAGGTGAACTTGTTCACAGGGAGAGTGGCAGTGCGCTCACCATGTTCACCCCGGGCTTCTTGCATGAACTTGCATCTATGACCAGACCTGGCTTTGCACATGTTCACCATGTGCATCTATGACCCAGTATATTCTTCCCCATGACCCCTTTGGCAGGTCCTCGATGCCTTCCCCCGTGCCGTGGGCCTGTGAGAATCGCTCTTCGGCCTCTGCTGCGCATGCAGTACGGCCACTACCCTGCCGTGGTGAGTGTTCTTGGTGTTATTCCAGCACTCGGTGTTTGTTCAGTGCAATGTGGGCGTGTATAGACTGTGAGAATCGCCCTTTGGCCTCTGGCCGCGCATGCAGTACGGCCACTACCCTGCCGTGGTGAGTGTTGCTGGTGGTGTTATTTTCCAGCACTCGGTGTTTGTTCAGTGCAATGTGGGCGTGTATAGACTGTGAGAATCGCCCTCTTTGCCTCTGGC